GTAACAATGATTTGTAATTACATGCATTCTTCTCAAATTTGTGAATCAAAGTTAATGTCATAATTATAAATGTTATTGTGTTTTGATTCTTAATGACTATTATTTGCCTTTTTTTTGAAATTTAACCATTAATTAAATAATCATTACAATTGTTCTTTATATGATATTGATATCCGGATATGGATATCTGGATGTGGTGTTGGAAATATTCGGATATTGATATCCGAATATGTCCTTGATAAATATTCAGATATTCTGTTGTTTTTAAGTTTTATGTCATTTTGCCTAGTCAGAACCTAAATTAATGATATAGGACCCTTCATTGGATTGATGGGACTTCTGTAAAATTAATCTAACCCTAAAACCATAAAATTTAGTGTTTGGGGCATCGGGAGAAACCTGCAGTACGCGAAACGAAAAAGAAATAGGGTCTCGTTGGGCTTGAGGAGCTAGTATATGTTTATTAATAGTATATATGCTGTGAAAACAGATTGTGACCTTGATGGACTTTGTGTTGATGATACTTTGGTGATCGTTGGACACCACGTTGTTGTTGGAAGACTTAGCTTATAGGTAAGCTTCGTGTTCTCAGGGTTAATCCCTTGTTTGTTCCACCAAACTCCATGGGAGGATGATTTATGTGCGTGGTATATTTTTAGAAAATGATTTATGAATTGATATTACTTGTTGTATTTGAAGATGAATGATAGCATGACATGTTGATATATATGTGTGGTGGTAATAGCATTACCTACTCGAGGCAGACTGCGGTATGCTGCATATGTGCGTAGAGCATACTTTCTCTAGCCAGAAAAATTTATTGTTAGCTATTACACACTATATATCTCACATTTGAACTTATATTATATATGCAAGTGAACTTGGGGAGGAGAAGTTCTTCGAGAACCCCAGTTTACTGAAATTTGTTAAAATCTCACCACTTGTAGGGCATATTTTTCAGGAGCAGATATTCATGATGTTGGTTCACCTTGAGGCAAGAGGCCAGAGTCGAGTTGATAGCATGATATGCATGCATTATGATTATGAGATATATTATTGCTGAGGCTTGCTTATATTGACAGGATTGACTACATTTATTTGATGTGAGCATAGGGGTAGTCTATACCACTACGAATAATATTGTTGTTATGGTTTGAAAGCATGTATTGGTATACACCATGGTTTATGGATGTTGTCATGGCTTTTTGTTGTAAGTCCATGGCTAGGTAATTGTTATTTTTTAGACAGGGTAGGTATGCAATATTTTTATGCAGTTATATCATTATTGCAATACATAAGGTAAAAAAGGAAAAAAAGTTAATTCATACGTTGGAGTAACGAACAATTAAGAATATATAATATAGCTTCCGCATTTATTGAATTAATCAAGCTGCACTCAATGCCATTGTATGTTTAATACACCGGGTGCACAAGGGATGTTACAGGTGTCTGTCGTACCCAAAATGGTTTAGCATATTATTTATTTAACGTCTCCAATTAATAGCTATGTCATTGCTATGAGAACAAAGCTCTCATTTTATTCTAATTAATCAACCACAATGCACAAAGATCAATCCCCAAATATAGTTGAGAATATATGTTGAGTATGAAACTCTTTATGTAATATCTTGAAATAATGACTGGAGATTTGGTTAAATCAATATTACATTATTTTTATCAATCTTTCCAACAAAAAAGGGAGAGAATAAACAGTTGAAAAAATATTTTAATTAGAATGCATTATCATTATCTCATATAGATCCTTGCACTAAACAAATATAAGATAAAGATATTATAAATCGACTTCCACAAATCAGCACTAATCTCAACACTCCTACACCACATACAAATATAAAAACATGTGATCGTTAGGGATCAAACAAATATAAAAACATTAATGTGACCTTCACCTGACAGTTTAAATTTTCAAGTTCAATTGAACCTACAAAAATTTGTAGCATAATCACCAACACAAGAAACCGTTTTGGCCCTCAGCTTTCTGTTGTTTCATTTGTCGATATGATTAGTGATTAAGATATGGAACAAGGATCTTCACTTCCGGAGAAAAGGAGAGTAGGAAATTAAGCAAGCTATCAATTAGAGGTTGGGGCTTTGATGAACCTGGCAACAAGGTATTAGCGATGAACGAATTATTTTTCCTTTTTAATTTTGGGCCCTTTTGGGCGGCAAGATTCTTCAGCAATTCAGATTGTGCTCATGTATGTATAAACTAAAGGTTTCAGGGATAAAGACAAAGTTGTTGCACTTTTTTGACTTAAGATCCTAAATCCCCATTAGATTATTCCTTTGAGAGGTTGAAGAGGCTGAATTTTACAGAGGAATCTCGCTTTACACAATTTAATTGCAATGCTAAACCCATTAATTTGATTCTCCACTTCTGAAAATGACATTTAAGCTGTTGCGAGGAAAAATTATATTTTCATCTTTGTGACAGTTAATATATTTGTTTTATACTTATTTTATCGATTTTCAATATCTTCATCCACTACGGTGATTATTCCGTTCCGGAATTTACTAAGCAGAGCCAATAACTTGTTATAATGGTTTCTAATGCTTCGTCATATTAAAACCGACCTAATTAAAATGCCTGATAATTTTATCCAGCTTGTTTTGTTTGGTTAGATTGTTTTTTTCCGCTAAAATTTATTCGAACTAAATGATTAGAGTGCTTAGGTTATTAAACAATTTGATTGCAGTAACAAAGGACAGATGCTACATTGGGTATTTCCACATAATTTATTCTAATGGCGTACGATAAGTAAGGGTGGTAATAATAGATTGGATACTCCCAAAGAAATGAATCAGTTGCATCAATGAAATATATAGGGGAAAATTCATTTGACTCTATTGTCAAACCAAAAAAGTTAACATCAAATTTTAAGTATTGATTTTTGTTAATCTAATGGTTATAATTTATTGAATTAATAATTACTTGTAAGTGTGATCTAATAAATTATAACCATTAAATTCACGGAAATCAAAGAATAAAATTTGATACGAAATTTTATGTTTGACATCAATATCAAATGATTCTGCTATATATATATATATATCAATGCCTATATATATATAGGCATTGTTGTTAAAATTTCAATTTATCACTACGATTTTATGTTTTTACGATTTTTTTCACCAAAACGATTTTACTAATATTCCAAACGCTTTTACGATTTTTTTACATTACGAGTTTATATTTTACGATTTTATAATCACTTTCTGATTTTACTTAAAATCTCGATTTTAACAACATTATATATAGGAGGTTTATATTTCTGCAGCTGCTGTACGTGCTGCAATCAAATACTTGAAAGCATTAAATGCAGGGAATCATAACCATACAAAGGATGAAAGCATTAAATGTGAGGAATCATAATTATACATCTGTCGTTGCTGTATGTAGGGGTGATAAACGAGCCAGGAGCCTTTGGCTCGGCTCGTAAATGCCTGAGCTTACATACCCCAAATCTCTTTTTATTTCTAGTAATATTTGACAATTAACAAAACAAAAAATCTGAAAATTTGAACCAATATTCTTGATAATATTTTGACCTACCAAATAACTTTTTGGTAAAATTCTAAAAAAACTAATTTTTCTAGCATATTCCAAAAAATCATGATTTCTAGAGAGAGAAAAATTCTTCTATACCAAACACGAGCGTCAACATTTACCTTATAAATAATAAAGAATAATGCGGAGTTGAAAGGCAAGAATTTTTTTTCATGCAAAGAACTAAAAAATAATAATCTTAACAAATAAGTCCAAAGAGAGAGACTAAAATGCAACAAATCCTCCTAAACGAAGTTATTTAAGAAATTGTATAATTTAAAATTCAACAAATCCTCCAAAGAGTCATGTATGTCTCGACCCGCCGACTGTTTTGCCACCTCTACTTTGGCCAAAGAAAAATACATTACAAGAGCCAAGCCACATTGTGTCTGAATGCGCTGAATGTGTATTTCATTTTACCTTTTGGTAATGGGAAGCCCATTAATGTTACTGAACGAACACTATGGGGAATTCTGTAGATAAAGTTTGTTTGTGCTTTTAAGATGAATATAAAGTTAGTTACACTTTTCTGGTAATTTCTGATACCCCACTTTGCAAGATGCAGGGTCAGGCAATGGGACAAGATTTTGAAGTTTATAATATATTTTCTTGTTTGGGAAAGGAAGATTTGGCTATCTATGCATATATTTATCATCTGTATTGGTGGTTAAAGTTATTTCTTCGGAATCCATTATAAGAATAATTGCAGACCTATTATTTGTGAATTTATGCGAGTATTTGAAGTTTATAATATATTTTCTTGTTTTGGGAAAGGAAGATTTGGCTATCTATGCATATATTTATCATCTGTGTTGGTGGTTAAAGTTATATCTTCGGAATCCATTATAAGAATAATTGCAGACTTATTATTTGTGAATTTATGCCAGCATCTCTATCTAACATTTAATTATTTAACTATAGATGCTCATAAAAAATATTCTGCAATTTTAACATGATCAATTAGTATGTAGTAATAGTTTGGGGGCAGTTTTCAACCTCTTATTTTGACTCATTCAAGTTTGGTTGCTTTAGCTTTCATATTTCCTCTGATTCTTTTCCACTTCGTTTGAATTCACGTAAAGACAACATTAGACAAAACTATTTGTTTGTTTGTAGGGCTTTGTTCTTTTCAGTGTTCTGTACTTCGGTTGTGTCAATAGATCACTGTTCATTCCTATCCTTTTTCAAGAATAATAACTAATGACCTTGCATGGTTGCATTTAAAAAAATTAGATTCAAATCTTATTCCTGAAGCCTTCAGGAATATCAGAGAGAACTTTATCCCATAAGGACTCGAATTTAGCATTACTGTTCTTAACTTTCCAATCTTCTTGTTGATCTTGTTCTGGTTCTTCTTTTCTTTTTTCCTTGCCCCTTCTATTTTCTGCTCCTTAATAAGGATGATACTTTAGCAGAGTTATGTCGGGTACCCGAGAAAATTGAACCTTTTTCTTGCAATTCTGCTTGCCATCCTAGTTCAAAGTTTGAGGGCATATTTGGGGTGCCTCTAAATGAATGAGAACAGGATCGATTGTCTTGGACGGCTTCAACAAAGCCATGAACTAAAAGGTGATTTCAATTCTGAGTTTGGCAACCGTTCTTGTCAATATTTTGATACTAGACAGGTTTCAAATATGGGAAATTGTAATCAGCCACTAGCCATGGCCTGTGGTGGAATGGAACAATCGCCATATATTGGCTCAACCAAATCATCTAGCACAATTATCAGCCGTTTTGAGTCACCGGCTTCTGCCTTTTATGCAACAGAAATCTGCATGGGTTTCCCACAATATGATTGCCAAGTTGGTAATCCTTCTTTGACATCTCAATTCTCTAAGATTAATGATTTGGAATTCCCTTTGTATCAATCTCCCAGGGAAAACCTTTTCTTGGATTCAGCAAACCAACCTAGCCCCAACTTTGAGTTGTCAAATCCCTTGCAAGCAATGCTGAAATCTCAATTGAATAGTGATCAATGTTGTAGGTCTCCTGAAAAATCTAATAAAACCCCATCTGGGAATTTTTCTGGGGGCAGTTTTCTTCCATTTGAACAACATAAATTGTTCATTGATGATGCTACCACAGTTAGTAGGAACCCATCAATTCCTTGTAAAGGAAATCAGGATCACTCAGTAAGTATTTTTGCAAACCCCGTGTTTATTGTGTCAATTGTTTATTCATTGATTGGCCTATATTTATTGCATCTTTCTGTCTTGCAGGTTCCTTGTGGCCCATACAATTTACCTGTTGCACAAATGAGCTTCTCTTCTCAGAAAGAAAAGCTGTCTCCAACACTCTCAGCAGGAAGTGTGTCAACCACTCCTAGAAACCCTGCTTCTAATGGGCCAGTAGTCTCAAGTAAAACACGCATAAGATGGACTCAGGATCTTCATGAGAAGTTTATTGAGTGCGTGAATCGCCTTGGAGGTGCTGAGAGTAAGTAACTTGCTAAATTCATAAAAAAACTAGCAATGGTGGGGTGAGAGCAATTCTTGTATGCAACCTTATCTTTGCATATTTACAAAGATGTTGTTTCCTGTAATCGAACCGTAACCTTTGGGACACGAAGGAGTAGTTTTACCGTTGCTCGAGGCACTCCCTCTTTTAACTTGCTTAATTCATCTATGACAAAAATATCTGGATAACATCTAATAGTCTTTTTGGTTGCTTGATTGCAGAGGCAACACCAAAAGCTATATTAAGGCTGATGGAATCAGATGGATTGACCATCTTCCATGTTAAAAGTCATTTGCAGAAATATAGAATTGCAAAATACATGCCAGAGTCAACTCAGGGTAAGTTCTTAGCATAGTTTCAGTGTTGTTTCTATATTATGCCAAGTACATTTCTTGGTTCTTGAATTTTACAGCATTCACATCCTCAATGGTGAACAAATGCTTATGAAATACTGCTAGGCAATGCAGAAGTTGAGGTTATAAACTAATGTAAATTGTTCAGTTATTAATGTCTTCACACTTAGATAGCTAAAACTGAAGGGATAAAATAGGTATTTCCTAATTGAATTCATTTCCTGTTACAGGAAGTTGAAATGAATAAGAAATGCATTTATATCCTTTCATATAGTAAAAAGCTTGAATTATTAAACGACGAATACGGTTTACTTTCTCTGCTAGGTGATATACATACATGAAACTACCAATGCTATAGAAAGTTGTGATGAAAATATCTTAGGATGCCCTTACTGTTTTTATTCACTTTCAAATTAGCAAGTTCACTTTCCATAATGGATCTAAACAAACTATTATATCCTGTTTCAGGGAAATCTGACAAAAGAACCCATGTAGAGAATGTGCATCTTGATGTCAAAACGTAACCACTTCCTCTGCCTATGTCAATTTCATGATTCTATAATTTCCAAAATCAATTAAATTTCTTGTTCTTGATTTGTAGTGGCTTGCAAATTAGAGAGGCACTTCAGCTGCAGCTAGATGTTCAGAGGCGTCTTCATGAACAGCTGGAGGTATATTCTTGCTTTTCTTTTTTCTTGTATGAATTTTTGGCTACTTTAACTTAAGTGTTCTCCAAATATTGCAGGTTAATTCTTTGCACTTCATAGTTGCAGTCTCTTCATACTGTTCTCTTACTTCAATGTTTCTTTTGATTTATTTTCTTGGTCCAGATTCAGAGAAAATTACAGTTGCGGATTGAGGAACAAGGTAAGCAGCTAAAGAAGATGTTTGATCAACAACAGAAGACAAGTAATAGCATCTTGAATACTCAGAATTTGGACAATACAGCCAATAATGATAAACAACAAAGTCCTGAAGATGTTGAGGTTTCAATTTCTGATGGGTCAGGAATTTCCTTCTTCCCTTCTAAGATAAGTTAGCTCTCCAAGCCCATAATGTAATAGCTTTATACGTAAGTAATTAATTGCAGTTATACACCTACCGAAAAAAAAATTTGCAGTATTACACTCTCTCATCAAATCTTACTCCTTGTAAGAGCTCTAGTCAAACCACACCATACAATTTTGTTATGGGATGTAAAGTACTCTTGTTGTCCTACAAGTGCAAACTCAATAAATTAGTACATATTAGATGAGTGTGCTACTTTTGCATTATTTAAACAACAACTCATAATAATTTTCATATAGAGAGCTTTTGTATCAGTTCAGCTCAGTGTTGTCGTTTTGCTTCCTCTGCAATTCCTTATGCATACGAAGTTAACAATAGTCTACTTTGAAATGTCCTATGAAACTTTATGTCGGGTATGCTGATAGAAAAGGTAAAAACACAGAAAAGCAAATACAGCATAAAAAAAAGTTCGTTTTATTATAAATGTCCCTTATTTTTGTTACAAGTATTTTAAAACTAACATCACTGCAACCAAATATCTAGATTCTTAAATATGACAAACACGAGAAAACTTTCGGTACACTCGTTCTCCTTGCACCTTTACTAAATCAGAAAAGTTTTTGAAATGTAAAGGAGGAATAAAAAAATAAAATAAAGGTTAAAATGAAAAACATTTGTTCGTTTTAATAAACGGGTGTACCGAATTCGGTACATTCACAGTATTAAAAGATTTCTGACAAACACCCCATAAAAAAACGAATGTGTATACCAAATTTTCATGAGATCCTGCTTTGCCAATTTATTATCAGCAAATACCAAACATGAACTTCTCAACGATTTGAGCTGCCAAGTGTAGTTGATTGATATTTAAAATTATCTGTCGTGACTGCTACAAATATTTGCATTTATTGAGAAGATGACGTATTAGTAGTTAGGAAAGACTTTAAAATCCAACTGTATAGCAGCTTGACATCATATATTCCCTAGACCTGTTGACTGAAGTAGCAGTTTCTTAGTTTGACAAGGAAACGGGATTAGATGTGTTAAAACAACCAAACTTGATAAAACCAATCAATTCAAATCAAACCGCTTGTTTAATTCAGTTTCTTTCTGTGTGGTTTGGTTTAATTATATATATATATATATATATATATATATATAGGGACAAGTTATATTTACAAACTTTTTTGTTTACAAACTACATTATCTTCTTTCGGGAAAACATAGTGTAATTTGTAAAAAAAATTTAAAAAAATTTGTAAACGAATCCTTCCCCGTATATATATATATATATATATATATATATATATATATATATATATATATATATATATATATATATATATATATATATATAGCTTAGGTAGTTATACTGAACGTGGGTAGTGGTAGATACTATCATGTAATCGTGGTAGGGTCCACATCAGGTACCAATACGTGGAATAACTAACCAACTATCCGGGTAAAGGACTTTTCGGGTTCACTCAGTCGGTTTCCATGGCTAGTGATACCCGGGCATATAAACTCGGAACATTAAGCCCCCAAGCTCGGAGTTTAATAACTATTTTACTCCGAGTTTAACTCTTAACTTATCTCTTACGATTTCCCTTAATTATTATATATTTGTACCCTCATTAAATGCCTTTTGTCTATTCACCTTCTGATTGCCACTTGTCATGCTCTTACTGCCTTGATCTTCTAAACGGCTTGTCATCTGAACCGATGTGACCTGACATCTATTATTGCATTTCGAAATTCGAAAACACCAGTTGCTTTTTCTCCCTCTTTTATTACCACTTTACCTTTAACGTATCATCATTTACTCATTCTCACCCTTGCCTCTTCTTCTCTTATGCGTCTTCTTCTTCCTTCTTCTCTGCGTCTTCTTCTTCCTTCTTCCTGCATTTTCTTGAAACTTTCTTGTAGATTTTGCTGTGACACTGCCATCTTCGGCTACTACTCTCCACCAGATTGTACAAGTAAGTTCCTTTACTTTGATATTTGCCCATTATTTTCATCTTTCTTGCCTAATTCAACGATTAACTATAAAACTATTACTTGCATCTATATAGTTATAATATTAAATTTGTATTAATTTCTCTCTCTTGAGAAACTTTTGGCCAGACATCAAAAGTTATAAAAAAATATAACTTTAATATTATAATTATATACTCTCCGCAGTATAAAGTTATAAGTATGTGACCAGACAAAACTTTCTCTCTCTCTCTCTCAATATATATATATATATAGGAAATGTTATATTTACGAATTTTTTGTTTACAAACTACACTATGTACTCCTGGGAGAACGTCTATGTTCTCCCGGGAGTACATAGTGTAATTTGCAAAAATCTGTAAAAAATTTTTGTAAATGGATCCTTCACCTATATATCTATATATATATTTATATATATATATATATATGAGAAAATATTTCGACAGCCACTTTAGATAAGCTTGTCTACAGCTACCACTTTTTAACTAAGTATGACCGGTCATACATTAAAATTGTATTTTCTCTCTCCGCCATGTCAGCCGACAGTGTCTGAGGAAAGAGAAAAAAAGAACTGCTTTATTGTTATAACTAAGTATGACCGGTCATACTTAGTTAAAAAGAGATAGCTGTAAATAACCTTATCTAAAGTGGTTGTAGAAATACTTTTTCTATATATATATATATATATATATATATATATATATGTATGTATGTAACATCCCAGGCGCTGACGAGGGCGGGGATTGATCGCCGGTGCGAAAGGGAATGGACAATGAGCGGCTCCTAGCAGGCTTCCAGCGACGGGGGTACATGAATGAATCAAATCAACACCCGAAAGAGAGGGATTCCAGAGACTGTGTTGGTATGAGACGGTACAGTTGGGAATAGCTTATAAGAATTAATTGGTACTACCTATACTAAAAAGATGCATCTAGCTCGGAACGGAAGAAATCCATAGTTAAGCGTGCTTGACTTGGGGCAATTCTGGGATGGGTGACCTCCTGGTAAGTTTTTTCGAGAAATGTGCGAGTGAGGACAAAGCATGCTGAAAAGTCTCGTGTTAGTATGTGGGGACAGTCGTTGATCCTTGCAAGTTGTCAGGCATTACAATATATATATATATATATATATATATATATATATGAGATTGTATTTTTTAATTTCAGTATAAGAATAAAAAATATTATTCCTCATCTTAATCATTTATTTTTTTGCATCTGGTACTTATAATTAATAAGTATAATTTAATAAATTACAATTGATATATATATATATATATATATATATATATATATATATATATATATATATAAGATAGGTTATATAGGTTATTCTTATATTAAAATAAAAATAAGAAATCTTATGCGAAATGATAAGTGTTTTTGGCTAAAATATCCATATGCATATCATATATAAAAATATAAAAAGATTTATTGTGGCTAACAGTGTGAAATATCTTACATTAACAGTAGAATAAATTCAAATACTTTAAACAAAATTATAAAAGTATTAAAGATAGGGGATTGCATTTATCATTTAACATGACACAACAAAATTTCCTACACACACAACACTTTGTGGGGCCCACACTTTTGAAGCAAAAATAAAAAATTAAAAAATTACGGCACGCAAAACGAATCTCTATAACATTACACAATCATTTTTCTTACAACATAACTCTTATAAAACACTTAAAGATATTAGTATATAATTGAGACACTGTTTTTCTTGTAACTCTAACCCCGTTTATTTATTTATTTGGGTTGAGGGAGACATATCCGAATTTCTATACTCCATAACTGATACAGGCCTTGGTGTGGAGCAGTCCAATAATGAGACCAACAGTGGGCTGAACTCAGAAAGAAGTAATGTAGCATTGGATCAACAAACACAGCAACCCAATGTTATTCCTACAGATGAAACAATGTCAGCAAAGTTGAAGGAATTAGAAGGAGAGGAGAACATATAAAGGCCCAAACGAATCAGAAGATGTCCTAAAAGGTTCGATGATGAAAGCTACTGAAGATGAATCACGAAGAAGAATAATGAGTAGGGTCTGTTGTACTGTTTGTGAGTTGTATAAAGTGAAGGATATTAGAAGAACATTTTTTTGACTTGTATTACATTCAGGAAATTCTAATAAAGATTCTTTTCTCATCTCTATCTCTTCTCTTCTTCTTTTTCCCCTTCTCTGTTCATGTGATAGGCTTTCATCCTATCAACTGGTGCTTTCATCCTTGAACATGGCACCGGATACTCGTTCAAGATCGGTTGATGATCGATGGGAGCAAACACAATCAGATGTGGAGCTGTTAAAAACCCAGATGCAGAAACAATTTCAAGAACTGACATGCAAATTGGACGCTATTTTTGATAATTACAGAGAGCGTGCCACTTCGTCTTCTTCAGACAACTCTGGCTCCAATACTTCGAGAGACTCACAAACGGCACGAAATCTTCGAATCAAGGTATCCAGATTCGATGGTTCATCCGACCCACAAAAGTGGATTTGCAAGATTGTTCAATTTTTCAATTTTCATGAGATCGATGAGAAACAACGCCTTCGGATTGCTCCTTTTTATTTTGATGGGAAGGCATTAGCATGGTATCAATGGCTGAACAAGAACACCACCATTGCCTCTTGGGATTCTTTCCTCAAATCCCTTCAGGTCCGTTTTGGGAATTCTGAATTGGAGGACTATCAAGGAAAATTAGCCAAGTTGACACAATCAGGGACAGTGATGGAATACCAAGAACAATTCGAAACTCTCTCTAATAAGGTAGATGGCCTCCTTGAATCTTTTTTACTTAGTTGTTTTATTGCTGGTCTCAAACCCATTCTTCAACACGAAGTGGCTTCCTTTTCACCCACAACCCTTACCCATGCAATATCCTTAGCCAAACGACAAGAAGCCAAGATTCAAGCCAAACCTTACTACCCTAAACTATACTCTCCACACTCACCCTTGCTACCAACACCTAAATCTTCAATAACCACACCTATTATAACAACTAGTTCGGACCCCACCCTTACATCCTCTGCTAAAGCCACTGTCCAACGTTTAACTCAGAGCCAAATACAAGAAAGAAGGGATAAGAACTTGTTCTTTACATGTGGGGATAAATACTTTTGAGGTCATA